TAAGTTACCCCAAAAGGAAGTGTTTAAAGGAATTGCAAAACTGAAATCATAATAGGTATACTCAAATAGAAAAAAGAAATAGTACAAGAGAAAAGTACTCTTAGGCAAGATGCCTAAAATATACGGGGAAGAATCAAGATGAAAAAAGGAAATGTACTAAAAAAGATAGAAGGGAGGAATTGGTGAGCTCTTCCATGGCAACAAGGGAAAGCGATTTGTGTCCGATATAATTTGGAGATGATTCTAACATCCTTTCAGTGAGCGAAATAAAGGGTTACGTTCGATATTCCAACCACCTGAAGAAGGCCGGAGCGTACAACGGCCGAAACGTAATAATTATGGCGACAAAGATGAGGACAATAGTCTGAATAATGTAAATAATGTACATAATACCTCATCTCAGAAATATCGACGGACTTTTAATATTTGTGTAGTTTTTTTTTTTTTTAAACACGACCGAAAATGTGACACCGAAACCCGATGAGGCATTTTGATAGCAAAATATACTTTCCAAAAGCTAAGCAAAGTATTAAGAAAAAGGAAAATTTCGCTAGAAACAAAGGAAAGAATATTGATCTGTTACATATCATTCGTTTTACATCGTAGTGAATGCTGGACAATCTCGTCAAAGATGAAGAAAAGATTTGCAGCAGCAGAAATTTTTTTTTCACCCCAAGCAAGGCGAGAAGACACTAGGACGCAAGGGGTTACAGAGGACTTGGAGTGACAGCAGATAGGAGTGATAGGGGAAAGGATGAGGGGAAGGATGAGGAGAAGGATAGTGGATAGATCAAGGCAACTGGAGATGTCGATTGACATTACATTTGAATTTGAGATTATAGCTATCATGGAAACAAGAGAAGGGAAGGGAGTTCGACATGCGAGAGGTGCGAGATATGAAGCTATTGGAGTAAAAGAGACGTCTACATTTAACAGTTTCAACAGTGAAAGGGTGAGAGCGGGATGCGAGCCTCGTAGGACGCTTGAATTCATGAAGTCTGGGAACCAGCGCAAGCAGCTCATCGGAGCAATTACCATGAAAGTATTTGTAAAGAAAGACAGAGGGAGGCGTCGGCACGTCTGTGAGAGAGCGACTGCAGACGAGATGCCAGATCAGGGCTAATTACATTGCATATCCGTCTCTGGATCTTATTAAGAACCCCGAGGAAAACAGAAGGGGCTCCAGACCATATATGGCAGCAATACTCCATGCAAGGGCGAATGATTGATTTGTAGATTTGAAGGATCGATTCCGGGGAGAAAAATTTCCTGGCGCGGCACAGGGAACTAACTTTCCTTATGTAAACAAAAAGGAGTTCTTGTAATTTCCTTCCTTTATCTGCTATCAATACAATATCATTTGCATATCTTATGCTGTTAAAATTGCGGCCGCCAATAATGAATTCTGATTGAACTTCTAAATTTCTAAGAATTGTTTTACATATTTCGATTAAATAACTCCGGTGAGAAAACACATCTTTGTCTTCAGTCTCTTTCTATTTTTGTATATTTACTTAATTCATTTTCTATTCGTCCGTAGGCGGTTTGCTGTCAGTTTATACGTGCTAGGTAATTCTACTATCCTTTCTAAGCAGATCGAAAATGTCTTTAGAAACAGAAAAAATCTTAATGGGCTGTTATATGTCTAATGTGTACCCTTCTATATTGAACAATTTCTATACGGGCGAAAAAGAGAAGCAAACAAGATGTGGCTCTACCAACAATTGGTAACATTAACAAATGCAGAACATGTGAGAAGCAAACAACCTCTAAAGGTAATAGAAACTAGAATGAAGCCACCAGAAAACGGCAGCCGACATATTTATGACGCCTAATGTTGAAAGACAGACTGGAGAAGTTAACACTCAAAATGACGAGAGGAAAAGCAAAAAACCAATCTGTTTGACAAATTCAGTAAATTAGTGGTGAAAAGGAAATGCCACACACACGAATTGGATTAAAAAAAAACAAATCAACAAAAGAAAGGACGTTGTGGAGAGCTATGATCGAACAAGACCTGAAAATAATCTTACACAGACAAGTTGGAATAAACCGAACGAGAACACCAGAACTAACAGATTAATGTATAATCATGTATTTAATGACGATAACAAAGATGTAGGAATAGATTAATTATCTATTTAAAGTGCATGTCACATTCAAAATGGAGTCATTAGTACGAATAGATCACGGTATAATAAGAGATTTATTGTAACTCTATCAAACAAAATGAACATAACAGTTTGAATAGATGCATAAAATACCTACATAGGAGACTAGTCTGAATGCAGTAATGAATTCACCTGACGCAACTCCAAAGATTCCGTGACCAGTTCAAAAGCACATCCAACTATCGCTGTTATCTTTCAGTATAAAGAGTACGGCTGTACGCATCGCCAGGCATGTTGCGTCGCTCAGTGATACGCAATGTGTGATACGTATACCGGTGCCAGTACGCGAACCATCGTCTGCCACGTCCTGGGTATGACGTTAAACTGCATCCAACAACAAGGCCTCTGATCAGGAGGATTTGAGGAGCGTGGAACCACTTCTTAATTGCTGGTGTTCCCAGGTCCACACTGACCCGGGGCGGTAGCACCTGTTAGGGTCCCAGCAATGGGCAAATAGTGAACTCCTAGTTTTTTCCAGATTTTAACCACGTTCTGGGTATGGCAATAAACTACATCCGCGTCCTGGGTATGACGATAAACTACGCCCAACAGCAAGGCTTAAGGTAATGTTTTCGGAAAAATAATGTTGCCAACTATACGTTTTTGAAAAAGTAATGTTGCCAGCTATACGTTTTTAAAAAATAATGTTGCCAGCTGTACGTTTCTGGAAAAATAATGTTGCCAGCTATACGTTTTTGAAAAAATAATGTTGCCAGCTATACGTTTTTAAAAAGTAATGTTGCCAGCTATACGTTTTTGAAAAAGTAATGTTCCCAGCTATAAGTTGTTGAAAAAATAATGTTGCCAGCTATACGTTTTTGAAGGAGTAATGTTGCCAGCTATACGTTTAATAGTACTATATATTTAATATATATATATAGGTATCTTATTTTTAAAAAAATAATTATATATATATATATATATATATATATATATATATATATATATATATATATATATATAACTAATTTGGCCTTAAATGACCTACAGTGGTTGATATGTCATAAACCAACCAACCATCCTCTGCCAGTTCACGGAGAGTTTCCAGGAAATAAAGAAACAGTATGCTGAGGGTATAAAGGACCAAACATGTGGGCAACAATGCAATTTTGGAGAAAATGGAAACAACACGGGAATTTCTGGGTCACCTAATGAGGAAGGGAGGCTTGGAAAATCTGATACTCACAGGACAGAGTGTTGGAAAGTGTGACAGAGAACAGTAGCACGTAATATACTTGACAAGCTTGAGTAAATGGATGATCGAAAAGGGTTTGGGAGAAATAACACAAAGACAAAACTTACAGGACAGAAAGATGTGGAGGGCCATGATCGTATAAGTTCTGAAGGGACACAGCACATAAAAGAAAGGAGACGATACATTCGACGCCGCCGGATCCTACCTGGATATCTGTTTTTTTTTTTTAAACATTTTAATTTTAATTTTGTATTTATTATGGTTACATTTTTAAATTACACTCTCATGTTAAAATTCATTGCTATACAACTCACGAATGTGATATAATGACTAGCAAAACAGTGAAATAAAATACGTATGACAACAACCTCATGAAAATGTGGGGGGAGTGACTTTGTGGCAACTGCAACTAGCAATATCAAAAAAAGCTATTTTCATGGACATATATTTCTACAAGATTAAAAAAATCAATCAACTTTTATTATAATCATTATATATTTCTGATATAAATGAATAATCCTATAAATATCGGTCTGTATCTCTGAGATGAGGTATTATGATTATTTACATTATTTACATTATTCGGGCTGTTATCCTCATTTTCATTGCCATATTTACAACGTTTCGGCTGTTGTACGCCCCGGCCTTCTTCAGGTGATTGGAATTTCGAACCAATCCCTTTATTTCGTCCACAGAGGTAGATTATTCTAGTTCTACGTGCCATGCCTTTTCAGGATGTCTCAGATATTTCACTTTAACTCAACTGTTCATGTTTTGGTTCACCACTGCTGTGGTCTGATATTGAACTCACAACTATTTGGGTCTAGTCACTGGATCTGACCAATGTCTTTATCCACTGGGCCATGTGAACGTGAAGACTTATAAATCTAATGTCTCAGTAACCATCTTTTACCAGTGCTCATATTGCATTTTTTTATTGCATTTTTTACTAGAGTTTATATTGTAATTTTTGTTTTTGTTCATCGCTTTTCTCCTTAAATATTGGCTCCCATATTGTATTCATTTCTATGCTTGGCCGGCTCAGGAGATTTTTGTGGCCTAGCATATGTGCTGATTCCTTAACTTTTCGTATTTTTCAGTGATGATCTCTGTCTATTATTTCATCATCATCCTACAGGGAGGGGTTTTCTCACTTTTCCCTCCTAATGAATATACAGGAAAAACTGGAAGACCTCATTGGAAATGTTAGCTATATTAGAGTAAAGATCCTACAATAAAAACAGAACGCAAACTGTCACAGATCCTAATCAGGAACAAGGACCACTTCGTTCGTAAGACATACAGGCAGTTGTTACAGCGTTACACTGAGTCCGAATAATGTAAATAATCCTATGAATGTTCAAATAAACGGGTCATTATTAACTCATTATATGGCACAAACATAGTACCGGTCCCTGGCACACCGGGAAAACGTGTTACGTTAATAATAAATGTATTCAAAATGAATAAAACATATCCCTCGAGTTTAGTACAGATAGTCTGAGAATGACCCTGAAAAAAAAATGGGCAGGCACAGAAAGCTGGATTGAAAAGCTTTGCTAGCCAGTCCCTCACACACTGAAAAAAAGAAAGAAAAAGACTGCAGTGTGCCACGTCAGATAGTTTGAGAAGAGCTGACAACACCGGGTATTCACCAGTGGTCACCCAGCCGAGTACTGACCAGAACCAACGCTGCCTAACTTCGATATCGGACGAGAACCGATGTTTCAACTTGATATGGTCGCAAATCAGAATAGTGTATAATAATATAAATAATGTGTTTATAGCAAACGAAACTGAGGCCAAATATCTAAATAGATTCCTATACGATCGTCACCCCGGAAGTAATACCCATCTATTTTGTTGTACTGGGTTATAAGTCCGGAGGCGGATACTGGAGGTATGTCATTTGAGGTTAAACCTTTTAACCCATTGCTCATAATGTATTTTACGTGTTACAGACAAAAGTTTGGCAAAAATGTTCACATCATCAGAGATGTTTCGACTTTTGTCACACAGATTAATAGAGTTTTTCTCATCTTCATCGTAGATACTGTTTCCGAGCATGCCCATCTGCTGAGGCTGATTTGTGCTTCTTCACCGCAAACAAATTGAACTTATTATTTATATCGCAACCCTCTTTTGGGGACGTTACTTACTGGTTCAAGTATGTGCTCCAGGGCCACATATGGTTTTGAATTCAGAGTATTCCTTCTTCTATACCGGTTGCCAACCACGGCTAAAGAGACAAGTATATGCTACTATTTAACCCATACATACAGCTAGAAGAGATGTACTCATATCTTTCCTAATGGAGTTTGTGCGAAAGGGAATCTAATGATCTCGGTTTGCCAATTTCACTTTCCGCGCATCTAACCACCGGAATACCCTGGAAAAATATACATTTATATTCATTGAGTATTAGTGAACATTTAAGGAAACCAAACAGTGGATGTGATCACAGAAAGTAACGCGTACTATCTGTCACGTCATAAAGACGTGGTACAAATTTTGTTTACGAGTGCAGCATGCAGGCACCTGTTACTTGCTGACTAAAATGCAGAGTCAGTTTTGGTGAATATGAGAAGAAATAGTGGTTTTATTGAGCTTAGACGCAGGGGACATTACTTCGAGTGTTTCTCTAGTATATCAGTATAAATAGGAGCGTAAGGGACAAAATGAAGACATCTATTTGAATGGATTAATATATGACTTTAAACGTTACGATACCCGTATTTGAAATAGACGATCCGTTTTTATTTTAATGGGTGCGTATAACATCTATTGTCTGCGCACTTGAGAAAACTTAAATAAGATGTGCTGGTCTGTAGAAGAAACTATTGATGGATCCGACGTGACTTAGACCGCTCGGCCATAGAGAGCGAACGAATCGACAATATGCTATTTCCCTTTTTAAAGAAAATCGCGTTACCACGCCATATTTTTTTTTTCTCTCGAAAGCCGATACATGGGCACATGATCGTGTGCATACTGGTGAGAGTATGGAGGATGTGTGACATGACTTCACTGCAAGATTTGGCAAACCAGCTCCTCCGAAGTGGACGATACTGGTAGTGGGTGACAAGGTTTTCAGATCGCCTTTTATGTGTGTGTGAAAGTATGTAAGAGTGCGTATGTGTGAATGTCGATAAATAATTCAATATATCTGTGTGTGAATGCGTATGTATGTGAGTGTGTGTGAATATGTGTGTGAGTGTGCGTGTCTTTGTGTGAGTGTGAATATTGGGAAATTACTGATTATATGTGTGTGAGTTTGCGCGTGTGATTGTGCATGTGTGTATATCCATGCGTGACTGCGTGTGTGTATTACTATGTGTGTATGTATGTGAATATCAGGAAATTACAGGATTATATGTGTGTGAGTTTGCGCGTGTGATTGTGCATGTGTGTATATGCATGCGTGACTGCGTGTGTGTATTAGTATGTGTGTATGTATGTAAATATCAGGAAATTACTGATTATATGTGTGCGAGTGTGTGCGTGTGAGTGTGTAAGTGCGTGTAAGCATGTGAGAGTGCGTGTACGTTTGTGTGTATGTGTGTGAATATCTGGAAATTACTGATTATATGTGTGTGTGAATGTGTGCGTGCGAGTGTGCATGTGCATGTGTGTGTTTGTGCGTATGTGTGTGAATATCGGGAAATTGCTTATTATATGTGTGTGTGAGTGGGTGCGTGTGAGTGTGTAAGCGTATGTATGCGAGTGCGTGTGTGTGTACGTTTGTGTGTACGTCTGTGAATATCTGGAAATTATAGATTATATCTGTGTGTGAATGTGTGCGTGTGAGTGTGCATGCGTGTGTATGCGTGTGTGAGTGTGCTTGTGTGTGTTCGTCTGTGTGTATATCGGGAAATAAATGAATATATGTAAAAGACAATGTAACAAATTGAAATGGTAAAACAGGAAATATTTTTGCTTCCTTTAGGAATTATCTTCAGGGATTTCTCTCAACGTCAAATGAAGAAAATTCTTAAGAAAAACCCGTATCTGTAGCCGTAGAAAAATTTGTGTTGGGAAAATAACGTAATGTGTTCGATTCCAAATCACGAAAGATTTCACAATTCTTCGAATGTTCTTAGATTTGGATTTCTAAATACGACGCTATTTTCTGTGTCCACAAATACAGGATTTTCTTAAATCTCTGTATTTATTGCAGAAATGTTTTCATTCTTTGACACTTCAATTTATTATACATACGTACACGCGCACACACACACTCGATCTCTCTCTCTCTCTCTCTCTCTCTCTCTCTCACACACACACACACATATATATAAATATGTAGATAGATAGATAGATAGATAGATAGAAACTTAATGAGATAGATAGAAACTTAATGAGATAGATAGATAGATAGATAGATAGATAGATAGATAGATAGATAGATAGATAGATACTTAAGGAGATAGATAAAGAGACAGAAGCTTAATGATATAGATAGATAGAAATTTAATGAGCTAGCTAGATAGATAGATAAATATACATATTACCTTACATCTAAAGTACCACTCCGAGTTTCATGCATAATATATTCGTCTGGTACTTATAATGGTGATGATCTGTTTGTTAGGATCGTTTACACGTGGAACTAGAACAATCTAACCCGGTGGATGTAATAAAGGGTTCGGTTCGAAATTCCAATCACCCGAAAAAGGCCGGAGCGTACAATGGCCAAAACGTTGTGAATATGGCAGTGAAGATGAGGATAACAGTCCGAATAATGTAAATAATGAAAGTAATCATAATACCTCATCTCAGAGATATAGAGGCCGAATATTATAGTGATAATATTTCATAGGTGGTTAATTTCCTGCTGCAGTGAAAGTTGCGGAAATGAAGCATGCCATTCACACACAAATGTTCCTCAGTGACATAAAATTTGATGTATTTTATATACATTTTCTCTAAGGGGAGTTGATCTGTGGTGACAGAAATATGTACTCTGGTATCTATCTAAGAGTTACCAAAGTAGGCTTTGCATTCGGTATAACACCAGAGGTATCAGGTGCATGAGACGGTTAACTGTGATGGTAATCTCATAGCCACTAGGTGCTGAATCGGGCCTTAAAGGATGTTAGTGGTTGTCTCCGATACATTGTCGACTCAACTGAACTTAAGTCCTGTGCACATGGACAATCGGATATCAGGAAGTTTTATAAGTGTCCCAACCGAGAAGGAAAGACAAAGAGTCTCTCAAGACCTCGTAAGAAGATCCATGTTCGAAGAAAGACCCCACCAAACACTCTCCCACGATGATATTAATCGAAGAAGTTCAGAAGTGAATAAAAAATCATTGTCTTTTTTTAATTAGTCTTTACAATGATAACGTTAATGAGTAGATCAGCTAGTATGCTGTCATTTCAAAGACAGGAAAAAAAACAAGAGAGAACTTGAAAGAAAAATTAAAGACTGAAATGAAACTAATGAAAAGTGAATGAAGCAAATGAATCAGGCCAAAAGGAAAAAGCAAGAAGGAAAATGATAAAGAAAAAGAAAGGAAGGAAAGAAAAAACATAGAAAAGGAAGAAAAAAGAAAATATGAATAAAAAGACGATGATTGAAGAAAAAACGTGAGGGAAAGGAAAGAGTGAAGACAAGAGAAAATAGATGCGAAGAAAAAGAAGAGGATATAATGATAAAAAGAGAAAAAAAAGAACGAGAAAAAAATAAGGAAAAAGACTTTCTAAAAATTAGAAGAAAAAAGAAGAAAAAGAAAAGTCAAAGTTAAAGTGAATAACGAATGAAAACTGTCGTCCTTTAGTCTGTGAGGATTCTCCGAAATGTTCTTGAGATGTGAGGATTCTTGTTGATATCATGCCTCAAGAACAGAATGTCCATTGCCAAAATAACAACAACAACAAGAACAATAATAATAATAATATATCCAGAGACATAACATGGTAGCGACATATGTGCACTGGAAGATATGCAAGCAGCACAAAATCAAAACCACTGAGAGATGGTATGAGCACCAACCAGACACAGTTACCGAAAATGACAAACAATTATTTCATATTCAAGTTTTAACATTAAAGGAAAAAAAATTACAGCCTGAGGATAGAGGCATGGTCTTCGAAAGTACTTGCTTAACTTAAATATATACACTAGAAACATCTGAAAACAGTTTTATAAATGTGGATCACATCATTCAATGGATTAACAGTATTTTAATGCATACATTATGTTTCTACTACCAAAAGTGATTTCGCCATTAATCGCATTAATATTGCTGATTGATTCTATGTATGATTATTTCTTTATATATATATATATATATATATATATATATATATATATATATATATATATATATATATATGCAAGAGAATCCCAAATCACCACAAATGGAGAATAACCTATTTCGGCAGGCAAAGATATCGGTCGTCTGTCTTATCAACCCCAGTGTGGACTGAGTTCGTGTCAGAAATAGAAATTTAACTGAGAAATCTAAAATTTAATTATATTAATTAATTATATTGATCTATAAGAATAAATAAATTGACCTCTGTTTGCGGAGCATGTTTAATATTTTATATCACTAGGATCCACTTGGATTATATACCAATAGATTTGCTACCTTTACCATATATATATATATATATATATATATATATATATATATATATATATGAAAGAAATACAAGAGGAAAGTGGTATTTGGAGTACAAAAAGATTTATCGTTACAGAGCGAAGTCACATCCTCTGGGACATGCTAATTCAGACTGA